GTGTGCTACTGTACAATGTTAAAATGTGAAAATCCAAGAAAACTCATTGTGGAAAATGTTGCAGTTCATTCAACCATATTTTAAGCCATTGTTGGGATGGGAAATATAGGTGTCAAGGGTTTAATTTCTGAGCAACCCAAGCTGCTAGTCTCATTATAGATATTAAAATTAGTAACTGCTATAATTTCCTCCTGCAGTTCAAAGACATCTGTTGTACTGACTTTAAATTGACTTAGAGTGTGATTTTGTGTGTACCGCATGATTGATTTGTGTCGCCTGAGATACCCCCCCCCTCCCAATTCTGACCAGGATTAGTACTTGGAAGATGATATCATAAAAGACTGTTGGTTTGGATTCAACATTGGGAGGAAACAAATAAGCCTCGACCCCCTGCCCCCTAAACACACACAATATTCCCACATTATTGGTAGGGACATGTCCATATCGTTCATACCCAAATCTATGGCTTTGGTATCGCAGCAATGATTCAAGATTCAAGAAGTTTATTGACATATACATATGTTTATCATAGAGGTGCACCGATTCGATATTCGGGATAAGTATTGGCACCGATCCATACCTATTACACAGATCAGGTGTCTTTATACTTACTTATTTAGTTTTCATCAGCTTGTAAAAAGGTAGCTCCTATTACTTTTTAAATTGATTTGTACAATCAGTCTTTCCCATTTTAGACGTGCAGTTTTTGCAGCATTTAAGCTGAACGCTAACGCTGCCACTCAGTCTTTTGCCACTCAGTGGGTGTGAGCGCAGTGACTTCCGCCTGCTGTGACATCATGAGCATACCCTTAGCAGTAGGAGGAGCGTAGGAACATCAGATATGAGGGTGATGATCTGGAAGTATTTTGTGCTTTTAACAACAAGTAGTAAACAGCGATTTGCAGTCTTTGAAAAAGTAGTTTTGAGAGGTGGAAGTAGCTTTTAGCGGAAAATCCCACTAAACAAAGTGCAATTGTATGAGACAATGTGAGTAATATGAAAAAAGCAATGGATGGTTGGGCTGTTTTGCGTACCCTGCTATCGTGATGAAGTGTAAGTGTAAGATGCTGTTGCCAGTGGGAGAAAAATTGTGAGGCATTTTAAGCATTCACCACGTGCATATCCTCGCTTGGAGGATATTCAAATTAAACTGCAAAAGCCTCAAAAATGCTTAAAACAAGATGTACAAACAAGATGGAACATTATGTTATATATGTTTGTAGTAGCCTAATTAAAGATTTTGGCATACATTTTTTCATTAGTATTTACTAGCTTAAAAAATATTAATTTATATAAAGTATAAATACTTATACATTATATACTGTCTAGGGGTGGCAAGGTGGTGCAGTGGTTAGCGCTGTTGCCTCACACCTCGGTGACCTGGGTTTGAGTCTCCACCAGGGTGCCATGCGTGTGGAGTCTGCATGTTGATGGCTTAGGGTGTGATTCTCTGTGCACTCTCCCCTGACATAGCCCCAATCCTGGCCAGGATTAGCATTTGGAAGATGGTATCAAGAAAAACTGTAGGTTTGGGTTCAACAAATCAGCCTTAAGCCCCCCAGACAAAACACAAACATGCTTGACCAGGTGTACTGGCTGTCACCGCTTGGAGTACTCACACTGGGAGTACTGAGGTTACTGACTGTGTGGTATCCAAGTACTCACACTGGGAGTACTGAGGTTACTGACTGTGTGGTATCCAAGTACTCACACTGGGAGTACTGAGGTTACTGACT